TAAATGATGCAATGTTACACTCGCCCCCTTAGCAAGTTCTAACTGTGTTAAAGAAAAGAAATGTGATACCTACTGATGCTGGAACATTTTTACTGTGTCCTGAATGTTTTCAAATAGGTAGTTTTCTTAGAATTAAATGTCAATAAATGGCATGTAGTTGTTATAATTTGTATACATGATACTCTTATTAAAATATCTACTTGTAATATGTTGTGTATGTTATGTATTTCATGTACTGCTATGGAATTTTTAATAATTTCCTAATACAAGACGTATTTCTAATTAGGCAATGATCAAGAGTTCTTTCAAAAATAATATAATTAAGTTGTATGTATTTTACTTATTTATACCTAAATGTTTTTATATATTTTACATTTATTTTTGACGACTGTAAACAACAAATCGAAGGCAACAAGGCTGAACCTCGTAAGTCGCAAAATCAAAATTTTTCAGATCGAAAAAAAAAAAAAAAAAGATTCACAAGTGCATAGAACAATCCATTTTACTCTATAATGAGACTAATATTTAACAATATTTTGTTCAAAAATTGTAATACTTCTTTTATACAGTAGATGGAGTGAAATCTTTTAAACGAGATTATCATAAAATATAATTTTTAGTGGAAATGTTAGTTACGAGGTCCTGCATTGTGGCCCTCGATATGTCCAAAATAAAGAAAAAAAGTCCAATTTTTAATAAAAAATCTAACCTTATATTTTACAGTATCTATAAATTATTTAATAAAAAAAAAATATACAGATCCTTAGCCATTGCCAGTTTTAAGTTAATTCATACAAATAATTATAATATTTTTATATATTTTGTAATTCTATATTTTAATTGACTAACACCCAGTTGGAAGAACATTTATATAAATCTTTCAATATCTAAAGATCGTATAATTTTATTAGAATGAACGTAATTTGATGTTCATATCATTAAGACCGTACCTATACATTTTAACGAATATTGTTGCAATCGGTTGTTTGTATCCGAGGTACGATATACATTTATATTATGTATGTACACATTTTTTTTTAAATTTAAATATGTATATATTTGTTTTCTGTCTTTGTCAATAAGATGTATTTTTTCAACAATAAAGCAATTTGAATTAGGAACCTGCGCATATCAGGCAGAGACTCCTGTCACTCGTAGCATCTAAATTTGTGTCGATGTATGTAGTGGAGAGAGCATAAGTTGGAATCATATCGATGCTTTCTGACGGGGGTCTCCCTTCATTCACAAGCATAAGTTCGATATCATAATACTAACGGAAACACACCTAAAACAAACAGACAAAATTAGAATCAGGGACTATAACATCATTAGAGAGGACAGACAGGAACAAGACAGACATAACATACGACAAAAGGCAGCGGGAGGGGTCGCATTACTAGTCAAAAACACATTAGAATTCGCGAACTTGCAAAAACTAAACATCTCACCTCACATAGAACACGCCATAGTTAAATGCTGTAATTTAATCTTTATAGGAGTGTACAACCCCCTGCTCAGAAAATCCCAAATGCTGACATGCATACACTGATGTCAAAGGGAATAGAGTTTTTCTGGCTGGGGATTTAAATTGTAAACACCCGGAGTGGGACGCGAACTGCACTCACGCCAACCCCGCAGATTTACTGAGAGATTACGCCGAAGACAACGAGCTTATACACTATACGGACGAACCGACATGCACCCCATTTAATGGCAGTACCCCTACAGCACACTGGACATTGCAATCACTAAAAATATACCATACGTTCAAAACATCAGAACGATAAGCACAATAAATTCTGACCACGATCCAGTGTGCTTGGAAATTAGAACGAGACAAACAATCAACAGACAATAAAAACAGTACTACGACTACAAGACGACAGACTGGAACAAATACAGACAAAAAATACAACAAACGTTAACAATCAACAACAACAACATTACAAATCCACAACAACTAGAACAAATAACTCAAGATTTTATTAAAGTCGTACAAAAGGCTAGAGACGACTCGACAAAAATAAAAACTACCACCCCACACAAAGACAAACTGCCACCTGATATCACTGAACTGATAACAAACAAAAACCAAATACGCAAAAGGTGGCAGACGTACAGGAGAGAAGAAGACAGGGTACGTTTGATGGACATTGCCAAGTACATAAACACGAAAATTAACGAACAACGAAATAATGTCTGGCAAGAGACCCTATCTGAAATCAATCCTAGAGACAACTCATTGTGGGGGGTTGTGAGAAGGTACAAAAAACCTAACTCGCAACTTCCTACAATGAAACAAGGACAAGACGTACTCACAACGGACAACGAGAAAGCTCAAGCCTTCGGTGAACACTTTCAGGCTAACTTCACGAATAACCAAATAAACAATGCTCGACATGATAGAATCGAAAGATTAGTTAACAACCTTAAGGAAACGGGTCCAGTTCACGTACCTCACTCTTTTTACACCTCTCCTAAAGAGGTGGTGGAGACAATTAAATTCCTCAAAAATAGAAAAGCTCCAGGACCTGATGACATCAGTAACATTCTAATTAAAAACATACCAAAACAGGGGGTATACGTTAAAATAAACAACATTACCACAGGACCTTACACTGCGCAGGCGGGAGTACCTCAGGGCTCAGTACTGTCGCCCCACTTGTACTCCATTATGACCCATGACATACCAATGGGTAATAATGGGGTACAAACGGCACTGTACGCCGACGACATCTGCCTCTTCAAAAGCAATCACTCGGCCGAAAGTGCAGTCAGGACGCTGGATATTCACATTAACAGAAGGTTAATCCCCTATCTTAAGAAAAATAAAATGAATATTAATGCAAATAAAACTGAAAGTATGCTAATTACAAAAAGGAGATCGAGGGGTGTCAATACACCCTTAAAAGTTGCAAATGACGAGATTGTAACGAGCAACAAAATGAAGTACCTAGGTTTCGTATTATATGGAGGGTTAACCTTCGACCAACACATAAAGGTCAGAGTAGCCAAAAACCATGCGGCCATTAAAACCCTCTACCCAATCCTGAATAGGAAAAGTAGAGTAACACAGGCAAACAAGCTACTCATGTATAAAACAATCATAAGACCAATCCTGACATATGGTTGTCCAGTGTTTTGTTCTATGGCCAACACTCACTTCAGCAAATTACAAGTAGCACAAAACAGATGTCTGAGGCTAGCTCTGGGATACGACCGCTATGCCAGAATTCTCGACATGCACAGACAGACATACCCTTACTTAAAGACTATATTCTCGATACAGCCGCAAATTTCTATAAGCGATGCCTTCCCGATAGTGTGAGGGACGATATCCTAAGCATATATCGGGGCGACAACGTGCGTAGGAAACACGGCTGTATCCACGCTAAACTAGCCATTTACAGGAACAGAAATAGACAATAACATCCTCCCTAACTGTCCCAAACAATACTAAACATTTCACACCGACTAGATATTCGTGCAATTCAGTCGGACGGAGGATTGATCGGTGGACCGGCCAACGGTGAAGCGGACGCGAAACCCACAATTTCGCGACTGTTACGCGGTTGGAAGGCACATCAACCAATCGGCCTGTGAAATGTACATACAAACCAAAGACTATACCAACACACACACAAGGACAACCCTGTTTTTTCTAGCTTTTTCAGGGGACAAAAAGACATTACTAAAACACGACATATCCTATCACCATTTCCCATTACCGATTTCCAAATAAAACCACAATCCCTTAATAATACCAAACAGGTAAGGAGTGAGGGCTAATATATTTATACATTTAGTCGAGCGAATTATTGTGGGTGGATTTATCCACCCTGGTTTTTGACCTGCACGAAAAGTCTATAAGAACTCGGTAGTGTGAATATAATAATTTTGACTTGACATGTAGATACTTTTACTAAATTGTAAATAAAGATTTCTAAAGTAATTGGGTCTCCCTTTGTTATCTGCATGTTCCTATTAAACTTTGTTAAACTCATTGTAAGATATACCTTCTGTTTTGAAAATTCCGTACCTGTCTAGTATCCTAAAGATTTTTTAATAATAAGTAGTTTTCTTTGAATTAAATGTTATATATTCTTTGTATTTGTTAATGTCCTGAAGATTTTATTTTAACAAAATTATTCAGTTCTTATAATTTATACCCCTAATACTATTATTAAAATAACTACTTGCAATATAGGTTTTTTTCAAGGATTTTCAAATGTTAGGTAATTTTCTTTGAATTAAGTGTCTAATTTATTTTTTAATAACTTTTACATCTGATACTATTATTAAAATACTTGCAATGTTTTTTAAATATTTCTGTATTTTGTAGCATCATGCAAGATTTTCAAATAAAAGAAATAGTTCAAATAATATGTACCTAGTTTTGTTTTCTTCACTGGCCCCCAGCCTAAACTTAAATTTGCCTTTATTTCCAAGATTAAGTTTTGATAGGTATAATTTAATAAATATTTCACTCGTTGTCTACAATATTCGACTCAATAGTGGAGTCGGTAAGCATCTGGTATTCATTTGTGGCCAGGAGATAACAATGGTTGTAATTCTATAGCAAAAATGGTTTACTCTCTACAGGAAAGAATTGAAATAATTATCCTTTGTGAAGAGGTTGGAAAATGCGCACGAAGGGCAGCATTTAAATGAAAGGCATCCTAATCGTAATGTAAGTCATGTATATTCTCGATTTGGTAGCAAAGATTTTGGAAACTGGTTCGGTGAAAAATAGGAAAAGAACCGACGAGTACTAAATGAAGAAGCTCTATTGAGGTTTTGGGAACATTTGTTGCCGTATCAACTAGCTCCATACGAATAGTAGCAGAACAGACGGGAATATCACGCGAGACTGTAAGAAGAGCACTGAAAATGCATAAATTTCATTCCTATAAAATGCAGTTACTTCAAGAGCTCTACGAAGATGATTTTGATAAAAGAATAGAGTTTTGTAAAACCATGTCTGATCAAGTCAACGCCAACCCCAATCTTCTGCTAAATATCTGTTATAGTTATGAATCTTCATTTTTTCTAAATGACATGTTAATATACACAAATATTGGTACTGGAGTGATGAACACCCGCATATTATTCAAGAAGTTCATACTCAATTATTGGTTCTTTATTTAATGAAGGAAACTTGCAAGGCGATCTGTCCCTTAATATGCTTGCAGAGATTATTGATCCTCTTATAAACTCACGAGCTAGGAACAAACTGATGCAGAAGGTAATTTAGTTTTACAGGAGGATATGTTACATTTCCAGCAGGATGCTGCTACACCTCATTTTTTCTTCTCGTCTGACAGAGATTTCCAAGCCCTTGGATTAACAGAAGGGGAGCAATTGAATGGCTCCCAAGATCACCCGATTTAACTCCCTTAGACTTTTTTCTTTTGGGGACACCTTAAATCCATTGTTTATGAACCTGCTGATATTGATGCTCTTAAAAGGAGAATTACAGAAGCATGCCGGTCAACTTCTGGTAAAAGTTTTCCGAAATGTTAGAGAGGAGTTGGGAAAAAGACTTTTTACTGTTTACGGTACAATGGACAACATTTGTGCTAATTAAAAGTTATTTATTTTGTAAAAGTCACCTTCATGGAAAACCATGAATTAATTGGTTAAGAGTGATAAAAATATTAATTCTGCACTCCATACTTTTGACTCCTTCTAACAGCTCACCCTGTAGAGCTGCAAACTTGAGGTTCATAAGAAAGTTGCCGTTAATGACCTGCAAAATAACATACAAAAATTTGAACAAATTCTGTCAGTAGGTACCCAAAATCAATGTAAAAAGTGCGGGATCCTTTCACCTAGTTATCTTTAAACGTTTAGAAAATATTTGCAAAAATGTGTCATCAAGACTTCACTTTTAACACCCTGTATCTCGGAAACGAAATGTTTTCAGACCTATGTTTATATGAACTTATACTCCTATTTTAGGATGTAGATTACACGCTGTTAAAATATAACCGTGTAATTTCGAGAAGCGACTTTCACATGAAATAAAAAGTAAGCTCTATAAGAGGATGAAGCCTATAGGTTCTGAAAATAATTAAAAAAATTTCCTATATAGCTGATTGTACGAAGATTATATGTTAACTGTCTATTGTACGCATAGTATTTAAACAATTTTAAACGACATATAACTCAATTTTATTAGTCACTGTATACTACCCAGCTAGCACATAACGTTGCCAAGACTTTCGGCGATGTTGCATTAAGGAAACGTAATAACATTATTATACAACGTAAATGCAACGTTCATGAGAAGTTGTTGAGGGAAATCAAAACCTCGCAAAACTTCTATTGGTTATTTACCTAGTTAACCTACCTGTTATGTTAACACAACGTAATAAAGTAATTTGCTAAAAAAGAATCCACAAGTAGGTACTGTAAACATCACAATCTGATTGAAACGTTTATGTCAATTGTCACTTGCCAATGTTTCTTGTCATATGTCATGTTTGTTTTTTTTAATTTGCAGAATTTCTTTTATAATTATTATTAAAAACATTTGAGTAGAAGTGGTAAGGATCCTCTATAAAATAGAAAACTATTTTCTGAACCATTTTCTTCGTTTTAGATTACAATGCCTGTTGTAAATTTTATCAAAATGTCCGGGAATATTTGGATCATATTTTTGTAGTTTTCGACAGAATGAGCTGGAGCTGGTTTATAGAATTATAAAAATGTCCGGAAATATCTGATAACTTTGTTAGAAGCTAGATAGAAGGACTTGGTTTATGAAATTATAAAATGAGGACCTCTAAATACTTGAAATACCTTATGAAAGAGATATACAAAACTAAGTTGCCACGTTACTGGTCTATTTAAGGATGTAAGTGGTGGCAGTAATTCCTTTTTCCCTAGCTGGCTCTTAAAATTTAATGATTCGGAGAGTGAAGGTATTAATAAAAGTATATCTAACTGTGATTTGATATAATATCTCTTTTAGCTTATTCACAATTTACCCTGTCGTTTATAATCCCCTACAAATGGTTTGATTTTAAAAAGATGATATATCTCTGTGAGTACAGGTAAGCATTCTGGAACCTCAGCTATCTCATGATATATACCTAAGTCATTGTTGCAATCATCTATTATTCACAGATCTAGTTGTTTTTGCATCATACAATTGCCATCTTGAAACGTACCTTATATAAATATACTTTTGTACAATCGTTCACTGTTTAAGCTTCTAGTGAACCTTTGCAATATTGATACCTTATTATTACTATTAAGCAAATTTTGTCCAATCGTTCAGTGCTTTATAGGTGGCTTCTACTATACATGTGTAACTGCATTTGTGATATACCTACCTCTACTTTTGTGATATTACTACTTGATTTCAAGAACATTTTAATAATAAATTTATATAAATATTTTGTTTTATTTGAAATTTCCATGTCTCGATTGAGTTTTTACTATACCTCAATTTCAGCCTCTCCGTATTACATTACACAAAGAACAATATAGTGTGTCCATGGATGGACTTAATTATACTTGTAAAAATATTTATTTTAAATTAAAAAAAGTTATTTTTCATAATTTCTTAATGTGAATCGAATTTATTTAACAAGTAAATTATGAAGAATTACTTTTTTAATTTAAAATAAATATTTTCACAAGTATAGTTAAGTCCATCCGTAGACACACTGTATAATGCAGTAGAACTAATTCACATTATAACATCTATAGAAAGTTTCAGAGCAACTTTCAGGGTAAGTACCGTAAAAGTGCTAGTGTGATGTTTTCCGAACTTCACTTTTTAACTTCTGTGAGATGTGCTATAAAAGTCTTGCCGTTGCGGACATTCGGTGGTTGCAGGGATATTAGGGTTACATTAAAAGTACATTGCATGTGAGCTTAAAGACCTAAAATTACAGCTTATTAACGTAGATGGGATGTTTTTGTGCTAGCTGGGTAAGAACCTACGTACATTTTCATAAAAATATGTTAAGCCGTTTTAGAGTAAAAGCATAAAATCACTTCTAAAATTTCAACTTTAACTCCCTGTAACTTTTTTACTATCAATTTTTTATTTAAGCAAGTTAGCTTAAGGATGTTTTCGCGGTTCACTATTTTAGCATTATCAAATCTATCTTAGTTATTTATCGTCAGTTTAATTTCATTTTTTGCTGAAGTATTCAAAAGAAACAACCTAATAATCGCTAGTCTTTTAATTTCTTTGTTACATCCTAGTTTTTTAAATAAAAATTAAAAACGAATATTAAATTTTATTAATTTGCAGATATCAATTTTTGGAAAACTGGAGTTTGTAGATCATTTTTTTTCTATAAATATTTTGAGAAATATCTCGATTCGAAAACAATGGACAATTTTCAAAATATTCCTAAGAACAGATTATATTAATTTTTAATTTATTGGAAATATTATAAAAGTAACCTTTATTATTTTGCTAATTTCAAATCGCTGAAAAAATAGGTCTTATACAGCTGTTTCATAAGGAATGGGAAATATTTTAACCATAAATTCAGGCAATATTTTGGTAATTATTTATTGTATTGTCTTGAAATTTGACAAGTTGATGTTTTAGTAGTGACAAATTATAATTTTATTGTCAATTTTAAGATTAAACAAAGAGGGCGCCACTTACACTCTAATAGATGTACAAAATTATCCGTATTATTTTATTCTTGACGTATTTATTTTTATATAATCAATCTTAAAATTGATAATAACATTAAAATTTGCCACCCTATAAACGTCAAATCAATACGTTAAATATTATTAACCAGAATATTGCAAAAAAACGATAAATAAATTTTATTTTTAACACCCTTTATCTCACTAGTAGGTGACATTTGACTTAGTGTTATTTAGCAAGATATTAATATTTTGTGGTCCTGAATCTATGGTTATAATATATCCCATTCCATATAATAATGTACTAATTAGTTTTAAAAAAGAAAAAAATGCATATATGAATAATTTAATTAATGTTAGATTAATCATCTTCTTCAACTGTATATAATTTTCACTTAGGATGTTTATAAACAATAAGGGTTAAAGTATTTAAGTGATTATTGGTTTTTAATTGGTGTAAACATAAATGTTTTATAATTACCGGGATTATAGAATAAGTACTAAGACTAAGATTAAGTAGGTAAAGGTGGATTATTGATTTGATTCTTAGTATCTTTCCTGTGAGTTAATCCCAGTACCTAATGGTAAAAAGTAATTACTACAATTTAAACTCATTATCTATTAAATTATTGTAGCCCTTATTATTGTTTTGGAAATAGAGGAAATTAGTCACACCTAAAGAATAATTCGTAATTCGAAACATGTAATGTTGACCTTAATCAAATTATGTCAAAATCTACAAAATTTTGGTTTTTCTCCTAGTATTATATTTGTTCTTGTAATAATTAATCTTGTTTATTATTATAATAATATTTTATTTACAGGAATCATCCCAATAAATTAAAATATGCTCGGTCAAAGATGCCTGTTCGACAAAATTATAACCAGTAAGTGTATCATAGCTCTTTTAGATATTTTACTGAATTGGTAAATATTTTAGGATGCTTATTTCTGAACCAGGATAAGTAGAAGCAGCTGAGATATATGTTAAGATTCAAAACGAAAACAAACCATCGACATCTTTTGATGCAAATAATATCGGCAGAAGAATTATAAACACTCCCTATTTTATTCAATCCATTATTTCTCTTAATAAAAATGAGCCATTCGATTGTGGCTTTGACGATATGGAATTTATAGAAGAACACAGAATTTGTCTAATAAGCTGATTTAGACTTCAATGCAAAATGTGTAATCTCAGTACAGAATTGAACACTAAAAATCCAAAAGTGACTACTGAAATGAATTTAAACTCAGCTGCAGTTTTGACTACTCTATCAACTGGATGTAATAGTAATATAATAATAATACTCTCCCTAATTCACCCCCTTACGAGTGAATTTTAACCCCAAAAGCTGAGCTTGTGCGGGGAAAGGGACGGATATTATTATTATTTGCCGTGGCGCTCCGGGGTGACTTAAAGATGATTGATGGTGCCATTTGACTTACAGGTTAGGAAAACCCGGAAAACCTCACCCACCATCATCGAGACGGTAATATATGGCGATTTTTTTAAATCTGCATGTCATCAACAGAAATTGAATTTCTATTAATACGGCACACATCAAATCCTATACCCAACCATGCAATTTATTTAAAAATTCACATGGTCTGGGCTGGGATTCGAAGCCCAGCAGTCTCTGACACATAAACTTGCTTATAAATGAATATAAGCGCGTTAGACCGTGGGCATACATAAATGGTCGAGCAGTATGCCATAATGGATATACCACAAATGCCTTTTCGACAATACTCAGCTCATAATAAGTGCTGATAAGTGAAAGTATTTTTGAAGCAGCTTGAGAGGCCATGGAACAAGCAGGACTGGAAGAATTGTAATTAGCAAAAGATATTGGAGAAGTAGATGAACAAGGAAATGTTCTAATTGCAGTGATTGTTGACGGTGCATGGTCTAAGCGGTCATATAAAGTGAACTATAACGCTTTATCTGAAGTTGTAAGTTTATATTTTAAAATTATAACGTGTGATCCAAAAACAATGTTTCTAAAATAAGCCATGACCGACAGAATTGTGAAGAATCCGTCATGCGTGATTTTTCCATGGTCTACTTTAGAAACATTTTCATATTTGACATAACATATATAAAGGGTTTATTTTTTAATGCACTTATTTTTTACAGGCTTCCATTATTGGAGCGAAAACTGGAAAAGTTTTGTATGTTTCTTCTAAAAGTAAGTATTGTCCTAATTGTGCTCGAGCTTTAACTAAAAACATAAAACCTGCAACTCATAAATGTTCAAAAAATTGGGATGTTTCGTCGACTTCTATGGAATCGGAACTAATTTTAGAAGGATTCCTTAATATTATAAAAATGCACAAATTAAAATATGTTAAAATTATTGTGCAGTGTTTACCAAAAAATTTGCTTAGAGAGACTCTACGGAAGAACAATGGTTCGTAAAGTAGAATGCATAAACCATCTTCTCACGAATTATTGCACAAATTTGCGTGATCATGCGAAAAAAAATACAGTTCAAAAAACAAAATAGTAAGTCCAGGACTAAAAAAAGTTTTGAGTGATAGAATTTTAAAGTTACGAGTGGGAATTAAATCAGCTGTAAATTACCACAGAAAATATACCAGTGATATTGTTGACAACGTGAAGCAATTAACTGCAGACTTTAAAAACTCTCCTTACCACACATTTGGAAATCATTCAAACTGCATAATTTTTTTGTAAAAGAGAACAAAATGATAGAGTTTATGTTACAGAAATGGAACAATGCGAACTAATGGATGACATTGTATCTGCTGGTATTAGGCTGGTTCAAAACAGCCACAGTTTATTATTAAACATGACTAACAATGCTGCAGAAACATATAATTCAATCGTAGCAAAAGGCGGGGTTGGTTGTAGTTTAGCCATTGCTTTGTAGCTTAGATTGCTTGCTTGTCCGCTTGTAGGTAACTATTTCTGCATACCAATGGAGAAATGCAATCATCGAGTGTCTGCCTCCTCGTGGCACCGCTGGATACGTTAATATTGCTGCTCTATGAACAGTAACTAACTAAATGGAACTCCATCAATACCCCAAGCCAAGGTGCAAGGCAACGTGCTGAAGGCTAAATGGCCGCTGAGAAAGCGGTTTCGAACGTTCCTCTGAGGGCACCTGGCGAAACCCTCTTGTATCCAAACTTGCCGGCGCATGCGGGGGCTCTGCGTCGGTCGACTTTTCTTTCCCTAGTGATCGTGGGATTTACATGGGCAAGAAAACTAAAATAAGTAAAAACCGGCGGGACTACATCGCCACTGATCAAACGGAGCCTGCCATCCGAAGCGATCAATCTTCCTCAACCTCTCAAGTGGGACAACCTCACAAGAGAAGTGGGAGAACAAAAAAAAGAGGCGAAGGGAGAAGAGAAGAGGAGCACCATCGCTCCAACTTCTTCATCCCCCTCTCACCACTCATCGGCGAGGGAAACCCCTCAAAAAAGAATCTAAACGGAAGCTACCTCCACTGGGACAACCTGGTGGAAGGGACGACCCACTGAGGCATGGACTCAGTGGGGCAGGGGTTCGGTAATATCTTCGCTACCTCGTTCAGGGCATGACACCGGAGGAAGCGAAAAAGAAAGCTGTATAGCACAAATCCCAGGGAGAGGGAAGTAAAACCAATCCTAAGGATCTGAAAAGAAAGCGGGACGGTAATAATACCACACCACCGCAAAGGAAAGAAAAGAAAAGGAAAGTGGCCGATACTTCCGCTTCTGGAAGTTATGCAACTGTCGTGAAGACGGAGCGGGTCGCGATCCTACTTAAGGGGTTCCCTGAGACCATCCTTAGTGCGAACGAACAAACCTTGGTGGAAGAAGCCATAGTAGAAGAGATGTTCGCTGGATGGGAGCATAAGCTCCAATTCGGAGACATCCACTTCCGGCCAGGAATGGTCTTACTCGACTGTGAAACCCCACAGTCAGCAGAATGGCTCAGGGCAAAAATCCCACACCTGAGCAACTGGAAGGCAGTGGAGTTGGAGGTATGTGTGGGAGACGACATCCCGAAAGAACATACAGCCACGCTCTTTCTCCCAAGATCAAGTCCCCGTAGAGAAGCTTCTACAGTTAATAGAAACGCAGAATGTGGGGCTATCGACCACACTGTTGAAAATCGCCAGCCAAAAAGACGAGGGCAAAGGCCAGATCCTTAGGTTAGGAATATATGACCTATCCTGCCAACGGATCAAGGATAATGGATGCACTATACACTATCGATTCGGGAAAATCCCCGTAAACGGCCTTCAAAAGAAAGAGGAAATAAAGGAACTGGGAGAAACAACAGAACTAACTCCTAGTACTTCCAAAGATGAGACTGATGTGGAGAGCATAGAGAGCCTTAACCTCTCAAATCTGCGTAGACTCATCTGAGGATGTAGAAATTGATGAAGAAGCAGAAGAGGGGGATATGGAACTCACCTTCACCGATGGGGACAACACCCCCATTAAAGGAGAGTAAAATGGCGGGCATCGACATCGCCATATTGAATGTCCATCACGCCAAGGGAGCCTCGGCTGTGATCTCCAGGATATTCACTAAAGATCAATTGGGGATCGTACTGATCCAGGAACCGCGAGTCTATGGAAACCAGGTAAGAGGACTTGCATGAAAAGGATGCAAGGGTAATTTATCACACTAGTGATAAAGTACCCAGAACATGCATAATGGTAAGAAGTAATATTAAATATTCTTGTCTTTCAGAATTCATGACGCGTGATCTCGTTCCAATTCGAGCATACCTGGAATTAGGGATGAGGCGGCAAGACATAGTAATAGCTTCTAGCTACTTCGCCGGAGATGGGCATGTTCCACCCCCGGAAGTATCGAGGCTAGTGGAGTACTGCCAGAGAAGACATCTGCCATTACTTCTTGGATGCGACGCCAACGCGCACAGCACCGTATGGGGAAGCAATCAAAGAGGTGAGCAACTTTTAGAATATATTTTTAATAAGAACCTTATTGTGCAAAATATTGGGAATACTCCAACATTTGTAACAAGGGTAAGAAGTGAGGTATTAGACATCACATTAAGCACACCGAGCATTAAAGATCTAGTTAAAAACTGGAGGGTATCGAGTGAACCATCCCTATCTGATCACAAGATAATTGTGTTTACGTTAAAGCGCGACATTCCTGAGACGATCCTCAGGAGGAATCCTAGAAAAACACTGGGACAAATACAGCACCATCCTAAAACAAAATTTAGCACGTATCCAGACAAAAAAGGGGACGGGCACCCACTTGCTCTGGAAAGCGATCTCGAAGAACTAAATGGGGCAATACTTAAAGCATATCAATCAAGCTGCCCCATTTAAAGAAATATAACTAGTAGGGATGCTCCTTGGTGGAACCGTCATCTGTCAAACTTACGATCCGAAGTGCGGAAGCTCTATAATAGGGCCACGCACAGCGGAGATTGGCAGAGCTACATCGAGGCGCTTACTACCTACAACAAAGAAATCAGAAAAGCTAAACGTAACAGCTTTAAAAAATTCTGCGAGAATATTAACCCTACACCTGCGGCAGCGATACTGCATAGGGTCCTGGCAAAAGGGAAATTTGATACAGTTGTGGCATTAAAGAAACCAAATGGAAGCTTCACGGAGAGTGAGGAGGAAAGAGCTCGCCTCTTACTCAAAACTCACTTTCCTGGAAGCACACCTTTTCTAATAAGGGACCCAACTAAGGTAAGCAGGCCCCCAAGAGAGGCCGCTGTAGTGTCCAAGCACATATGCAGCAGAAATCGGTTAAAGTGGGCCGTAAAAACTTTTTAACCGTTTAAGTCTCCAGGTGTGGATGAAATATTTCCTGCTTCAGCAGGCACAGAGGCACAGGAGGAATTACTACCACACATAATCCGGCTATCCCGGAGCAGTCTGGAGCTGGGATATATATCAGAAGCATGGAGAAGGGCCAGAGTCACCTTTATTCCAAAAGTAGGGAAAAAGGATACCACACATCCTAAATCCTTCCGACCAATCAGCCTCACATCCTTTGTATTAAAAACAATGGAGAAGGCTGTTGATAATTATATCAGAACGGAAGTCCTGGAGAGGGTGCCACTCCACCACAGCCAACACGCGTACCGAGCAGGAAGATCTACAGAAACTGCTCTGGTACAGTTGACTGACGTAATCCAGGATGCACTGACAATCAAAGAAACGGTCGTGTGTGCCTTCCTAGACATAGAAGGAGCTTTTGACAACACGTCACACGAATCTGTAAAAAGAGCACTTACATACAGAGGAGTAGATAACATCACATCCAGATGGATGGCTTAGCTGTTATCTACGAGAACTGCAGAGACACAGATAGGGCAGGACATCATATTCATCTGCACAACCAGATGATGTCCACAAGGAGAAGTTATATCCCCACTAATGTGGAGCCTAATCGTAAACGAACTTCTCTGCAGATTGACTGACCTCGGCATACCCTGACAAGGTTATGCCGACGACATAGTCATATTTGCTAGTGGCAAGTTTAGTAATATCCTGTGTGATATAGTCCAACGAGGACTAGAACATACCAAAAGATGGTGCCGTGAAGTAGGTAATTAAAGTTTTTTTTTTTTATTTAAGTATTTAATTTATTTTGACCTATTTTTAATTTCAGTGAACGAAGAAAAGATAAAACCAATACAGTATATTTTTTTATGAAATTAAAAGAAAGCATATACCGTGTTCAAATTAAAGTGTTACAGTTAAATACCGCTGTTAATATGCAATTTATAAAAAAAAGTTTCAGACAAAAGTTTTATAGTTTTTTGGGGAAAGAATTTGGCGAAATTATTTTTTTTATAGTTGATCATAATATGGCCGTATCGAGGTGGACTTTTTTATTTCAAATTGGAACCCCTATTTTTTTACATATTCCTAATATTCATAAAAAAATAAGAAACTTTTAAAGGAAACATTTTTTTTATTGGACTTTAAATACCTACTTGAAAATTTTGTTGCGCGAAAAAAAAGTTGATCATATTATGGTTAGCTATAAAAAAAAGATTTTAGCCAAAATGTTTACCCCAAAAAATATAAAACTTTCGTCTGAAACGTTTTTTTATAAAAGGCGGTATTTAACTGTAACACTTTAATTTGAACACCCGGTACATTATGTACAATAAAATATACATGCATACGATAAAATAGTTTTCAAAAAATTTTTCGTCTACACTAAAAATTAATTGTGATATTGATGAAATTTTGTTTAAAAAAACATATATTTTATAGTATGTATCACTAAATATACCATAAATAAAGCCATCCAAAGCTTTCGCGAGGATACCAAGTGTATATAATCGAATATTAGTTATAACAACAATAATGTTTATTTACAAAAAAATACGATCAATAATTAAATGTATAAAAATCATTTACTATTTTACCTTAGAATATAAATAAAATCAATTTAAATGTTGTTAATAATTTATTTAAAAAATAATTCCATTAGATGATGACCCTCAAAAAACGTTAATCAATAAATAAGAAAGAAAACTTTCGAATTCGTTGTCGAAGTAATAAATAAAAATATTTTCTGCAAAGAAATAACTATTATCAACATAATAGTTACAATATACAGACAAATTTGGCTAGCCCGCGTTTCAGGTATAATTGAATACCGAGAAAGATGGGCGTCCCATTAGACTCAACTGAGAAAGATAGAATTATTACACGTACAATTGTCTTTACACAAACAAAGAGAGGGTTGCGTACAGAGATATTCTATGAAATGGATGAGGTACCTCTCAACTTCGACCGAACGGAAAGTAGTAGAGCAGCCTTATTTTTAACCCCAGCAACAGTACATCTTTTTGTTACACCCCATATATTAGGTATTGGATTGCAACTACCTAATACTCATAATTTTATCTAAAAACCATCAAATTAAAGTTTTTTAATGCTTTCAAAATTGAGTTGTTCTCCACTAAAACGTGTCAATTTGATATTTTTAATGAACGTAGGTGTTGTTACAACCAAAAGTGGAATGAACATCGTTTTAACAGTTAATTCTGAAAATCTTGGTAAACCAACAACTTCGTAGATGTATTCCTGTGATAATAATCTCAATGGGTAATTTTTTAATTAAGAAAGAACACAACAATTGAGTAATCATGACATGCTCGCCTTGAGGTAAATATTAATTTAAGAAATCTTTTGTTATAAATTAAATAAATAATCCAATTGTTTCAGATATTGATAAACGTTTTCGCAAGAACGAATAGATTTGTTAATAATATCTATTTTTTCTAAAAGTTGAACCAAAAATGTTTCGATAACTGGAATTTACGATTCAAATTTTGTTAACATGGATCACTCTACAGCTAAGAAAAGGAAACAGAATCCAAGAGAAACTGCTAATCTGTTTTCATTATTTACATTTGTGTGAGTATTTTTCTATGAGATGACAGTGAATTATTTTAATATTAAATTAACCTATACTTTTACCTCATAAAAATTATATCGCTTTAATTTTCATTTTCATCAATACAATAGGTTCTGGATCTATTAGACTTATGCATCCACCAAGATTTGGATTAACAATAAGGCATGACAATGCTATTATTATAAATCCTCGCTTCTTTATTATTTCAAGCTTTTTTGTTTACAAAATATTTAGGTTAGTTTAGGTTAATATAACGAGTGTTCCACATAAAATGTTTTAAAGTAGACCATAACCAAACAAAGATTAAGACACGAGTCATATCCGTGATAACTGCTTAAGCCTCTGAATTAACTCCAAACTCTTTAAAAAAAAGAAGAATGAACGCTCTGACATGCGTGTTTTTTCCATGGTCTACTTTAGAAACATTTTTTACGGATCACTTCATATTTGAGTGAGATAATACCATCTCCTTTCTCATCCATGTAATCTTTAGTGGCTCATGCTTTAATCATAAATATGTAGATAAAAAGATTTACAATTCACGATTTCGCCAGTGCTGCCATGTGTATTAACAGCTAGTGAATATAGAAACTAGTAGGCGGGAACAATAGGCATACGTGTTGCGATTGATTAAAAGTATAAAAACCACGTTTTTCGCTATTAAAAGATTTTTTATTCTTATAATACAAAAAAAAAGGAAGATTCGGGAATATACATGGTATTCCCTCATCCTTTAATTTTGGCCTTCCCTTTTTAATTTTTCAAATAAAAGTTACTTCTAATATTATTCTCTATAATTTTTGTTCTATACAAAATTTTTCTAAAATGGTCCCCGTAATCATGAGATTCGGCAAAATGTGCAAAATTCTGATTTTCAAGAAAATTGTTATACTAAAGAATTGAAGGAAAAGTGTAAAATTTTAACTTTTTAGTATTTTTGTTGGCAATGTAAAAAAATGTTTCGATCTAGAAGTATGTGGAAAATGTATATATTTAGTTTATCCGCTAAAAATTTACAGAGGTTGTACAAAATATCAGGAAAAAGCCTGTAATAACTAAATAGAAAAGTTATGTGTTGGACACATCAGATTTTTTATTTTGCTGACACTACCATCAGTAAGAATAGTCTCATAATATTTGGAAATATTATCTAAAAAGTGAAGCTCGCAAATAGCATCATCTTATCTCTAGAAAGTGCTTTGACAGCCCCAATGACATACTGCCACTGTGCTACTTAAACGTTTAGAATCCTATAAAAAAGATTTACGACTACAAAATTGGGATCTAACCTTTGAGTCTAACCAGTGGCGGCTTGTGGTAATTTAAAATGGGGGTTCAAAACTTTGTACAAGAGCCAATATTGCTGTTTTTTTTTTTAATATTTGAGTTTGTATTAAGTGTAGTTATTATTATCAACATCATACTGTTTTCAAGCACTGCAACTATGAATAAATGAATATTTTAGTTATTGTAATATTTGTTTGGTTTTTAATACGTTGAAAACCTCTATAAACATTATTAGTTAGTCAACTTTTCTTCATAATTCGAGATTATTTTTAAATATATATCAGACTATATAAAAAGCTTTGACATTGATTTTTGTGTAAAAGATATACCATTTTTTAGTTTTTTTTGTAAATTTCATAATTTTCACAATTTGTCACACATTTCAAATAAAATAATATGTTTTTTAAATACCTTTTATTGGCAAATAAAACAAGTTAACTAAAATGTTTTAAATGTTTATTTTATAAGATCAGTCCTATCACATTGTTTTCACAATCAATAGGCCTCATCTCCTTATAGAGCTTGATTTTTACAAAAATTTTCATGTTGATATCGCTTTTAATTTTTGATTTATTTTTTTTTTAATTTCAACCCCCCTTAAATACCCCATTTTTAATCAGTTTTTTTTTCAAAATAAATCCTTTTAGAGCTTGATGTTTACTAAAAATTTCAAGTTAATATTATTTTTCGTTTTTCAGTTAGGATTTTTTTTTAATTTTAACCCATCTTAACCCCTTATTTTTAATCAAATTTGTTTAAAATCATAAGGCTTTGTCCCCTTATAGAACTTGATTTTTGCTTAAAATTTTCAAGTTGGTATCATTTTTCGTTTTTGACTTATCGTGCAGACAAAAATGTGACATCGGACAGACGGACAAAGTAAACCTATAATACTCTTCACACACTACTGTGTGAAGAGTAGAAAAAAATGTATGGGGTAAAATAAACAGTTTAAAGAGATCAACAAGAATATTCAACTTCTTTTGTCAACGAATACTAAAAGTTTGAAATAGCAGCACATAATTGAAAATTTACAGAAATCTGTGAAATATAATAGTGAGATACACATTGTAAAATGTTATAACACTTAATTCTCCATATGACTCGTTCTATGTGTATTTCACTGCACATTCCAAAGTATTATTTCTCTGGCTATTGTCGTCCTCCCCTCATTGCTGCCCATGTTTACTAAAAAATAATGTGTTTTAATAAATAATAGAACAATAGTAATTTTGTCTAAATAGATAACTCTGCTTTATCTCTATTTTAAAATTATTGTTTAATTGTATATTGTTTTGAGATATACTTATAGGATTGATTACCCAGAGCATGTAGATATGTGTGATGAGACTTTTAAGTGTCTGTCATAATCAAAACGTTTGATACTTATTGCTGTTTTCGAGACATACTTTAATACCAACTGTAAACTAATTTACGAAAAGCCTTATTTTTATTTTATACCTGCAGGGATCCAAATTATCAATATACCTAATATTTTTGAAAATACTAAATTATAAAAACAAGACAATAAAAGATTTCAGGTTTGTACGCAACACACAATCTAGGCTGGGAGGTAACACGATTGATAATTACAGGCAAACATAACTTTATATAAACTATTTAAATGTACATAACATTTTTTAGGTAAAGTTTCTTATTATGAGTATATTAAATTCAACTGGTTGATCCATTTTTTCGATTCAAACTTTTAAGTGAAAAACCATTTATCTCTTTATCTTTATCCAACGTTTATTGTCCATTTGCATTTCCATAATGATGTCAAGTAGTTACCTTATCAAAATAATCAAATTTTTCCTTTCAGCGGGTTATGTGGGAAACAAAAAATTTACAAATGTTTCGCTTACTTTTTACTTCATAGTATTTACAGTTGGGTACAAAATAGTAACAATTTTAAAGTCGTCTTAGAATGGTCTTAGACACTGAAACAAAATATAAAACAAATTAGAGTCGTAATACTTTATTATAGTTAAATAAAACAACATAACTTTAAAAATACTTATATTTACCTTGCCTTAAAAAAGTTTTTCGGGAAAATTCGTTGAATTGACACACATACTTCCAATTTATTAAAGTCAGAGTTCTTAATTAAACACATTTTTTTTAATGAGCACAATTAAAATAAAATAATCTTATCAGGTTTAGTGTGTTTCATAGTTAGAGGAATGACAGTTTGTTTGATTTGGTACAGTGTTGCCAGAATAGGTTTTTGTTATGTACCAGATTTGTCTAAAAAATGTACAAGATTCCTTAAATATACCCGATTTTTCGAATTCTATTCGCAGTGATATCTTATTTAGTGAATTGAAAAAAAAAAGGGGATATTAATAGATAACGAACCTAAACAAGGAACACAAGGAACATAATTAGACTAGTTAGAAAACCAACCAATTATTGGAGAATTCTGCAAATAATTTGTGAAAAAAAACTCTTTTTACTTTATCCCAGCTTTCGGAAATTTATTTAATCATTTCCATCATCAGGGTAGACCACAAAATAATGTTGGAAAATTAAACTAAAGTTACTACTTACAATAAGTTGAGATTGTTCATTATATGTTGTAACAAATTGGTGACACGCTTCTGATTCACCTACAGTGAATCAGCGAGTCTGTGTGGCGCTATGAAGGTAATTCCCGAATGGGGGTTGCACAGGCGCCAGTTTTGGTATCGCAGTTTGCTCTGCGATCCTGTGGTACACCAGAGTGTACTCAAGGTGAACTCAGTGGAGGTAAAAATAATTCCAGGCGGTCACTGCTAGGTAGCCACTATACTAAAAAAAATAAAAATAAAACACTTATCTCCTTTACACCTCGTATCCTACGGTACCCTGAAAGAGAACGGTTAAGAACCAGCAGTAAGAGAAACACAGGAATAGGTAATAAAATATATATTTACAAAGAAAATACAACAGTAATTAAATATGAACGGCTCCCTATATTCGGAAAATTTATTAAAAATAAATTATTAGAACTAAAAACTATTTAAATATTGACGGATCCCTATATCCGGAAAATTTATGAAAAATAAATTATTACAATTGAAAACTATTTAAATATTGATGGATCCCTATATCCGAAAAATTTATGAAAAATAAATTATTACAATTGAAAACTATTTAAATATTGATGGATCCCTATATCCGGAAAATTTATGAAAAATAAATTATTACAATTGAAAACTATTTAAATATTGAGGAATAATTACGGTTCGCAAGCACAGGAGGCCAAGCGGCCCGGGAATTATGAAACTCTCTATATACGGAAAATGTATTAAAAATAAATTAATACACTCGAAAACAATTTAAATATGACGGTAATCAAATGCAAGCAAATAAATGAAATCAAAGTTGTCGGAACGTCCCTGTATCTTAGACCAGGCCGATCGACGCTCTGGCAATTATTGAACGAGAATGATAAGTTTTCAGCGCGGTGTTTGGAACAAGAATGCAATGGTTAACGTAAAAATTATTTTGAGATTTGCCCAAAAGTGTTACAGATCTCAGATACCAATTTCCAAAAATTAAAAATTTAAAAAACCGACTTCAAAAACGTGCAGATGCCATTACCACATCTTAACCAAATTTATATGGGACCACCCCTGAGGTACCCCCTCACTAACAAAAAAAGAATCATATAAATCGGAAAAGGTGGTAAAGCATTATCGCTAAATATACATAAAAAAATTAAGAGTTTAAGGATTTTCTCATGGACCTAATTATTAGATTTTGACCAAATTTATATGGGAACACCACTGAAGTACCGCCTTTCTAACAAAAAAAGAATCATTGAAATCGGACACCGTGTTAAAGAATTATCGCTGAACATACATAAAAAAAATCTAAGCTGCAAAAAGAAAGTTTCTAGAAATGACATTTATAGCTCAAAACCCAAAAAACATAAACAAAAAATAGACACAACATTTTAGTAAAATTTACCACAATCTTTTATCAAAAGACAAACCGTTATGAAATTAACATATTGTGTCATCTCTTGACTCCTTAAGATAAGTTACTTTATAATGAATTTATAGAACTTAATAATGAATTTATAGAACTTAATAATGAATTAAAAAAAAACCTCTTTTTTCTTTTATTCAAATGTTTTGCAATATTTATAAGTAAAATACCACTTTTTTTACAAGGTCAAATAGTTGACAAAATCATTATAAATATAACAACGGAGTGTATTGGAATTGGGAAAGAAAGAACTTTAATCTTAGTGATTTTAATTTATAATGTATAAATTAAATTGACTGTTTTATAAAAAATATATACCAATTTTTTACAACATGTAGTGAACAATCTCAACTTATTGTAAGTTGTAACTTTAGTTTAATTTGGTCCATTGTAACTATTTTCCAACATTATTTTGTAGTCTACCCTGATGATGGAAATGATTAAATAATTTTCTGAAAGCTTGGATGAAGTAAAAAGAGTTTTCTTTCACATATTATTTGCTGAATTCCCCAATATTTGGTTGGTTTTTATATATATATTTTACACGTGAACACTGCTGCACGCCGAGGAAGAAAAAGTACTAGATTTTGTTTCGAGTACCAGATTCTTCGAGAATGTACTACATCTAGTACAATTGTACATTGTACTAGACTGGCAAAACTGGTTTGGCAAGGTTCCTACCCGCGGCGCGCCAATTAATGTGTTCTTATGCAGTTTGAAGGATCTGTTGGCATGTTGTCTTCTCATTTTAGCTATATGCATTCGCAAAATCGTCTCACTCGTGTGGGCTCACTTATCATAACGCGCCACAGACACACTATATGTTATTTATGTAATTTTAACATGTGTTTTTATGAAATTTAACTGGGTGTTTACTGCACAAATGAACCAATGGAGAAACTGCCCCTGGGTCTAACAAACAAATAACAGTAGCAACTTTTCATCTAACAATTAAACTCTGAAACAAACAATTTTTTTTCTAGTATGTTAAATTTAATGTGTACCTAATTATTGTTATTTGTAAGTCAGGATTTATGACTGTAAAATTGTATATTATAAAAATAAATAAAATAAACTACACTCCGTAAGATACGGGTTGTAACTAGTTTACAATAAATATTACATTTACTATATTGTTTTTCTTAGCCCATTCGGACTTCTCACTACCTTTAGAGGCATGAGAAAATCACCAAACTCCATCTACCATCATCTTCCGGTCCTAAAAGGGCTTGTTGTATTTGATCCATATTAATTTATCTACATCACTTTTGTCCCATGTACAAGTTTGTACAAGTCCTTGTTATTATTTGTTCTATAAGTTCTTGAATCAACATGTGATTGTCTAAAAGGTCTATGTATTTGCGATCCAATGTTTCGCAGTCGCACAATATGTATTTTGCTATATCTGGGTCCTTGTGACAGTCTACACAATAGATCTTCATTTTACACGCCTATTTTGTTTAAATGTCACTTTATTGAAGTATGTCCAGCCGTGTGTCCTGCATTCTGTTCTTTTTAAACAAGGTCTTCCATAAATATTTTGACATGTATTTGTTTTGGGGTAGTTATTATTTTAGAAGAGAAAATAGAAACAGTAGTTACGGAAAATTTATTTGAATATATCATTTATATAAACAGGAATGAACAGTGGTCCTAGAACAAATCCTTGTGGAATTTCGTATCGGGTACTCTGCAACTTTAACAGTTGAATATGTTTATTTTCAAAAAATAATTTAAAACATTGATTTTTTCAAATTTTTAGATATACGGGAAGCATTTTCAAAAGAGCTTATGAACGAGATCTGGATAAAGATGATTTATACGATGTGGTGAGTAGCTGCAAGTCAAATAAATTGGGTAATGCTTTAGAAGAAAAATGGAATGAAGAAAAAGTTAAGGAAAATCCAAAATCTATTTACAGAATTTTATGGAACATGTTTTATGTTAGATACTTTCTGCTAGGTGCCATGGAATTGACTTTTAAAATAGTAAAAAGGTAAGTTTCAATCTTATTCATATTTTTACCTATTTAGATAGTCAAATAGTATTATTATATACCAGTTTTATTCTCGAGAGAGATTATAGCGAATTTTAGGCTTGTGGTAAGTAGGTACGCTACATTTGTACCGCAGGGACTAAAACTTTACACGATAATTATGTGAAAAGAAACACTCAATATTGTTTCATAACGATTATTTAATGATTTGATTATAAAAAGTTATTAAAAAAAAAGAAAAATTAAAAACTAACGGGAGTTTGAACCTGGATACTCTGCTTACAAGGTAGGTGTTCTGTCGTTGCACCACACTAACGTACTAAGATTAAGGTACTGTCGAGTAATAAGACCAGGTTAACGTTTATAATTTTTTTAATCAAAAACAAATAAACATACTTAATCTTTGGTATATAAAAAGGTAACTTAACAGGTTATTCTTTAAGAATGTTGAGGAAGAGGAACTCAAAAATATATACTAACGTTTAAAAAATGAAAAAAAAAATGTGTTTTGGCCTTATTACCAATCTAGACAGGTTATAAGGCCAAATGGAAATAAACAAGAAAATAGTATATTACATAACGAGAGTTGTGAGGAGCTTATTACATGCGAGTAAAAAAGTTGCGCACGAGCCGCGTAGCGGCGAGCGCAGTAATTTTATGAGCATGTAATAAGCTTACAACTTTAGTTGTGTACTATACTTTTTCTACGACTATTATAATTTATAGAAATAAAAAGCATAACAAGTAACTTTATTTCACAAAATTCTGGAACAATTTAAATTAAACATTTATTTGTAATAATTAATTGTAACATTTTGGCAATTATTTATAACTATTCCCTTACGCGGTAAATAGTGGGATGACGTAAACTGTACGGTGTGTTCTTCAACATTTTGGCAATTATTTTTAATTATTCCCTTACGCGGTGAATGGTGGGATGACGTAAACTCTACGGTGTGTTCTATTTGGACAATTTTATTTTTAGTATATGTAAAGGTTTGTAAATTATTTTCAACTGAATTTATAATTTTATTGGCTGTTGACGTCTTGTTATTTATTGACTCATCGACATATCCTTCGGCAGTTGTTGAAGATTTCCATCCGCCATGAAGAGCCATTAGATCACCACCGGCATCAATCAAAAGAGTGGCAGAAGTTCGTCTTTAACAGTGACCTGTATACATTTTGGGATCTGGTAACTTTAAATATTCGGCTATTTGTTTAGGAACACCACCTATTTTGTTTAATCCTACCACTTGTTTCGTACATTTACCTTTTTGATAGTTAAGGAAAAATTGATTTATTTGCGGATCGCTAATTTGTTGCCGAATCTCTATATATTGTTTGCAGATTTTATAGAAATTTCCGGAAATTACGGAAGATCTACATACTTTGGTTTTCGTATCAGGGATTTTAACCAATAATATTTAAATCATCGATATCACTAATTTTAATATTTTTTAATTCTTGTTTCCTACAAGCTCCACATATTCCAACAATTGCAATAACCTTAAAATAAAAGTAATATAAGTATACATTTTTGTTACAGGTACTATTAAATAACATACCTTTGTTAATAAATATTGTACATCTTTATTTAAAAGTTTTATCTGATCAGCATGTAAAATTTTAGATTTTTTGTTTTTAAAACCTTCTGACTGTCTTTTTAAGTAAGCTCGCAATTTCGGATAATTTTGAATGTTTACATTATTTTTCAAAGTTATAATACTTCTTAACATAGAATATATTGCCCATAATGAGGACGGTTTAATTTTTTTAGCGATTTCTCCAAAATAAGCCAAGAGTAAGTTTTCAGAAAATGATTTTATATTATTTGTTGTACGCCAATCCATATGTTGCTGATATACCTTTTTATATCTTCCTTTTGATTTTTCTGGTAATAGGTTATTGGTAGTGTTCGCAGCTAACTGAATAATATTGGGCCGTGTGCTACTAAATTCATCTTCACTATCCGATGAACTCATTTTACTTTTTTCTATTTAAATTATTTGTACATTTACATTGACAGCTTGTATTATTAATTTAATTCTGTCAAAATAATGGCAACTGACTTATAAGGCTTATGTGATACATTATATTTTCATAGAACTGAAGCGTAATTTTTTTATTGCGTGCTAGTCATTACGTGTTAGTAACTGTAATGACATATTTACTTAGCATTCAAATAGTAGGTAATGGGCAATTTACTAGTAAAGGAGTAGAAAAAAATAGTTATGGCATGCATTGTGGGCAAATAAATTCATCTGTGTTATCTTCAGTAAGGCTAACCCATTTTTCATTTACCCAGGTTCCACATGATGAGCTTGGTCGCATATTAGCCACATAATTAATATCACAAATTGAGCAGAGCCAAACTTTTTCTGCTGCAGCTTTGCTGGTGGTTGACATTTCAACTGACTTTCTTGACGGAGTGGTTGGTGGTTCAGTTAACTTTCTTAACGATGTGGTCGTATTTTTTTAGAACTGAAGTCTTTAAATACGTTCCTCTCTACTTTCTAAGCTCAATAATTCAATGCTTTTATGGGGGGGCGTAACAAGCGTTTCAGAAAAAGAGTTCTTCTTGTTCTGTTTCCCTTTCGATTAACTGCGCCAATAGAATTTTATTATCTGGATCTCCGTGGCCTTCCATGTTGAGCTCATTACAGATTTCGTTTTCAGGTAAATTAGGAACATTGTTTTGGTCGTGGTGACGTTCGTAGGAAGACTGGGAACAAATGCGTAATCCGGTATAGCATTTCTTTTGAAGGGATAGATCCCAGTTGCTCTTAACCCACTACATATATTGCTGATAGTCATGCATTTACTCCAAACAGGGGTAAAGATATTTGAGAACCTTTATTTAGTTTTCTGTCAGGATGTTGATCCCAGTATTCCAGAAGCTCCTGATCCCAATGGGATTCAACGGAGTGAAATACGGACTTGTCCATTGGCTGGAGCTCATGTGTAGTATTGCTAAAGCCTAATCTGCAACATTTCTGCTTTTTCAGCAATTTCTGTAATCAAATAATTTTATTTTATTATTGTTAAATTAATGCAATAAATCGGAAAACATTTAATATTTCCGATACAGTTAGGTATAGGACAGAGTATATAAAATATATCTAAAATTTTCTGAAGAATCCGAAAATTGAAAAATATACAGGGTATTGTATTTAAAATAAGAAAGTTGGTATTGGCCACTGTTACATGACACACCCTGTATAAAAAGTTTCTGTTAAAAAAATGCATAACTAATAATACCAATCGACGTGTCCAAACAATTTTCGGAACACGCCCTCATTTATTTATTACCGAATTTATTCCATTTGGCTGTTCCACCCTACACGGAAAAAAACGTGACTAGAAAATTTTACTACAATGTTGTAGTAGTAGACTTGTAGAAAAATACTTAACAATTTGTAGAAAATTTTACTACAATTTATAGTTAAAAACTATTCATTATTGTAGCAATTGAATTGTCGAATAAAATGCTACAACAATAGGAAAGAATTCCACAATGTTTAGTATATTTTACTATTGTTTGTAGAAGTATAAATTTATTACAATTATCGTAATTACTACTACTAACTTCTGAAAAAATTTGTACAAATATTAATAATTATCTCTACAAAAAATAGTAATTTTCTCTACAAAAAATAGTAATAATTTACATTCCTTCTTATGAAAAATATTCAATTTTGTTCAAAAATATTCTATAATATTGTAGAAATTCTAAGTCATGTGAACAAAACAGAATTCTGCTATTGGCCAACGTTTTCTGACGTCGATCATAAATGGCCAGACAGCAGTAGCCGTTCGTCATGTTCACATAACAAAGCATGGTACATATTCGAGTACCTATAACACATTATTATATTATAAGCACCGATGCGTTTGAGAAAATTTTAATAATAAATTCTATTGGTGGTAAGTACATTTATTGTTTTTGAATAATTTACCTTTAGATAACTAATTTAAATAACCTTAGTAGATTATTTTAAAAAAAATAGTTGTGGCCAACGATCGAATGTTGTGCCCAAGATCGAATTTTGTGCCAAATTCAATGATTTTTTTTTGTCTTATTTGTGACATACCTACTTTCTCATTTTTGTTAGTTATCTGACTTAGTCATTTAATATCCAAATCAGTGTAAAGGTGATAAATATCCCCGTTTTAAGGGTATGAACAGTTCAATTGTTATTAATTTTTATTTCATATTTTTCAGGTGCAGAAAAGCCAACTGAGACTGAGGGTGCTATTATTACTAAAGACCGGACATTTTAATCGCGTTCAAATAATTGGTTTTAATCACATAGGCGTCTCATTCTGGGTTCGCTATTTAAGACGGCAGACAGTGCGGCAGATTCTAATACTATCAGGACAAACCTCTTTTTTTTATTAAAACAAGATAAAAAAAGTGTACTGATATATACATAGACATTAAAACTAATACAAAAAAGTGAGATTTTTTTTTATCGTGTACCTATATTCTTTGTCTTTTGAATCATTTTCATTAAACAAATTTAATGTTTTCTTCTCACCAACGCCGAGGATATGTAGGATATTTTACAAAAGTTTTTAGTAACCTCAGATCCTTTAATTTGTGGCCTGAGAAATTTTCCTTAAAAAAAAATAACTTTTTTGATGAAGATGTTAAACTTTTCATAAGCGAGTTTAAGGTGTAGTAATGTAAACGATATTCTGTATGATATTTTTTTTATTATTATCTCTTATATAATTACAAAATATCTATTCCTCAATATTTTGGCGTGGTACACTACTCTCCTGCCTAAAATGAGGATCGAGGACCCCAGCTGCCTCCCCCGAATTTGTTATTTCCTCCAGAAAATTGGAAATTTCTAGCCTTAGCTGGTCCCGATTCATTGTTGGAGAAATTGCATCGGGGCCAAATATTAGGACTCTACGAGCGTTTGGACTAAGACGCTGTAGAGAGGGCCTAAAATGAATGTCAAATAGGCCCATCATATGTTGTCTTATAC